CAGTAAGGCTGCGCAATCAGAAGAAAAAAAAAAGCAGCAGATGCCTGTTTTCTGACTGGTCGGCGGACCGCCGACTGGTCAGCCCTGATCGGTCGGGACAAAACGGTCGGCGGTCGGGGTCGGCGGTCGGCGCCGGTGCAACCCTGGCCCAGGCCTTAACTGTAGAAGTGGGCCTGGGCGCAGACACTGGAAACTTCCCCAGCCATGCCCACACAGACACAACAGGGGCTGCACCTTCCATAAAGGAAAGAGGCCAGCCCAGGGGAAGGCATTCTGGCCTAGGCAGGCGATGCGGACGCGCTGCTGCGTTGCGCATTGCTGCGCAAGCATCTGCATGGGCTCTGCTGGTCGGACGCGCACACAGGCNTTGCGCATTGCTGCGCAAGCATCTGCATGGGCTCTGCTGGTCGGACGCGCACACAGGCACAGTGGTGAAGGGGCGTTGCTGAGGCAGTGGGCGCACAGCATCCATAGCCGGGCAGCTGGGGCACAGGGCAGGTGATGGCGATGGTGGTCTTCGGGTAGGAGGCGCATGATGTGGGGAGACGAGGCGTGATCACGAGAGGAGACAGAACGTACCTGGTGTATGCTGGTGATCAGCATTGGTGTTGACGTCACGTACATTGGTCTTCAACTTCAGAGTGATCCACAGTTGCGAGAACGTAGATAGGCTAGATAGGCAGAGTAGGATAGGCTGGGCGCTGGGCGCCAGACAGTACGTGCGACATTGGATACAGTGTTGGTGTGACCAGAGAGTGGCGACATTGACATTCGAGTTGATTGTATTGCTCTTATTTGTACGGTATCTGGTGCATTGAGTTCTCTGCTTGGTACATGAGTATCTGAGCCACTTCGTGATTTTGCAACTTGGATTTCTACCTATAGCTCTCGCTCATATTCCTTGCAATTTGGTATCGGAGCTGGTTTGAAATCGCCATTACCGGCGCTGGCGACATTGTTACTTGGTGAGCTGACGAAGCTTCTACGCAGTGAGGATACATTGACGCTGGCATTGTTTGCCACTACTGGGTAGAGAGGAGGTTGGCAGGAAGGCTGTGGCACAGCGTGGGAGCTGTGCCGACAGCGGGTGTGTGTGTAATGATGAGAGCATGCTGACAGGGCATTCTGGCTGAGGTGGCACTACATTGTATTGTGTGAGGTACCGAGGCTATGACCGGTCATCGAAATGCATGTCGGCTCAATTGGTGAGAAATTTGTGGTCAGCCTAGCTGATGAGCGGTACAGATAGTGGGGAAGGGACAGCTGACGATCAAAGGCAAACACGACGGGATACACGTAGACTTCCTATAGTGAGTCGCGGCCTCCTCAGGGGACTTCGTCTCCACACTCCCAAGTAGGTAATCGTCAACATTAGAGTCATAACATAACTCGATCGTTGGCGACGACCAGCACACAGGTCCGCTGAAAGAGAAGAGAAAAAGAGAAAAAGAGAAAAAGAGAAAAAGAGAAAAAGAGAAAAAGAGAAAAAAAGAAAAAGAGAAAAGAGGAAAGAGACAACGAGAAAAGAGAAGAGAGACACCGTTCGTACCTTCGGGACAACCATTAAAATTGGAACGATACGGAGAAGATTAGCATGGCCCCTGCGCAATGATATTATGAGGTATTATGAAGATAACCGCAATTCAAAGAGGTAATACTGCACTTGATGCACTCACAACGAAGCAGAATATCAAAACAATGGAAAGAATGAATTCCCAGCACCAGCTTTAAATATCCATACAGGCCGAAGATTCCACCATCAATCCACTGACCTACACTTAGGTCTAATTCCAGCATCTCGGGTGCCGGGTTAGAACTGAAGTCCAAAGGGAAGACATGCATAAATCGAGGCATGGTCCAGATTTTCGTGGGGAAAAAAAAAAAAAAACGAGAAACACCATTTTTGAAGGAGAATTGGGTGGAACCATACATGCAAGCGCACCTCGTGTGGGCAGTTCCCGACGTGCGGAGCATGCGCCCAACCGATCCCATGCGGCACACGACATCTGCGGGGAACGACTCGTCACCCCCCTCCAAAAAAAAAAAAAGGAAGGCTGGGGGTCGAAACGGTGCGTTCGAGACCCTCCGCCAAAATTATAAGCGGGATGAATTTTTTTTTGGCAGGAGTGCTGCCTCACCTTGCTCCTCCTCCCTTATCCTTTTCGTTTCCTCCTTTTCGTCCTCGTCCTGCCCTCCATGTCTCCTCCACCTGTTCGTCCTCCTCCTGCCCTTCCTCATCCTCCTCGTCTCCTCCTCCTCGTACTGCCTCCTCGTCTCCTTACCTTCCTCATGTCCTTCCCTTCCTCTCCGTCCATGTCTCGTCCTCCTCCCACTCGTCCTCCTCCCGCCCTTCCTCTTTCCCTCCGTCCATCTCTTCTCCTCCCCCATCTTTGCTCCTCGTCGTCGCCGTCCTCGCTATTCTCGCCGTCCTCCTCGGACGCATCCTCCTCCTCCTCTCCATGTCCCCCTCTACTCGCCATATCCCCAGCTTCCTGTCATATGCCCCCCCCATCCCCCCTCCAAAAAAAACATAAAAATAATAATAATAATAATAAAAAACCTGCGCGATTCCGCACAGGCATCCCCCGCACGGAACTACGCACGAATGTGCGGCTCGTGCGGTTGCAAGTATGGGTGGAACCCTAGTCCATCAGAATTCGAAAGGGAAAAAAAAAAGGAGTCCTTTGGGACATCCGTTAATGACACACATATATTGAGAAATGGTCTAAATTAATTAAAAATAAATAAAAATAAAAAAAGAGAAGAGAAGAGAAAGGAGAAAAAGAAAATTCATCACTTTTGCAGGAAAGAGGATATAACCAGCAGCCGGGTCACGAGGGGGCAGAGAAGAGCGCTGAGTGATCTTGGATCTCTTTTTTTTCTATTCTATTTTCAAGGAAGAAACTTCATGTGGCACAAGAAACCCACCCACCCCACCCCCCCCTCCCCCCCAAAAAAAAAGAAAGAAAGAAAGAAAGAAAAAACCATTGTCACCGACAATTCGAGCGGCGAAGAAGGATACCCTCTTCTATTTTCAAGGAAGAAACTTCATGTGGCACAAGAAACCCACCCACCCCACCCCACCCCCCCCAAAAAAAACGAAAGAAAGAAAGAAAAAAAAAACATTGTCACCAACAATTCAAGCGGCGAAGAAGGATACCCTCTTCATCAAGCAGTTCGCCCTCATCAACACTCGACATCTCTTCTTGCAACCGCCGAGCTGCTATCTCCATGGAGTTCGCCTCTGTGGTGGGGACCACCACCACCACCACCAGCAATTATCGCAACAGAGGAAACAGTTGCCATCCACAGGTCAGTTCTTCATTGAGGAGTCCATTTACAAACAGCCATAAGGATTCCAAACATTGGGACAATTATCCTGACACAAGAGGGGCACGCCACAGTCTGATTGGACGTCAGGGGGGAGGCGAGGGGACACGTGAAGAGTTCAAAAATTTGGGACAATGACCCTGTTTCCAAAACATGGGGGGATGGTTATTATGGCTTCCGTTTCCACAACAGGTGACAGGCGAGTGGCGGAGGAGTGTGTGTGTGGGGGG